AAAAAAATCTCTCAGTCTGTCAAGACTCAATTCAACTCTCAGGGTTTGTTTGTTTGTTTGTTTTGTAGTACGTACTATCAGACCAAAGGAAAGAAAACAATTAGAGACCCACAGACTTTGATAAGAGAGAAGATTACATCTGATAACTGCAAGTGAACAACAGGATATTTCAATCATTCTAAAACATTTATTTACACACAGTAAGATTACAGATAATCTGTACTAGGTTATCTCAAAGTGTATTCCCTGGAATGTTTTTACCTTCCTCTCCCCAAAAAAGAAAGAACCCCACGTCAAACAAAATTAGATACATATCGCATATAACATCTCCCTTGTTAGATAGTCACAATGTGCATCAAGGTATTAAAGGCTTTGAAAAGTCAGGCTGTAAATAAGCCAACTAATCATAATCTATCATGTTCAAATTAGACTTAAGAATTCATTTTTAACTGTGTATTCCCAAGGAATGCATTTGGGAAATGTTTATCAGTACATTCTAATAATGCCCATGACGGTTTTCATTCCCTAGGAATAAAAGTTAAAAGTTATTTTTCACCACCGTTGCTATGCTATGAAGTAATGGTAATGACGATTTAGTTGTTGAATATTGGAGCAAAAAGTCATTAACATATATCTGAGATACTATTCATAAGAACTGAACATAAATTCCTGAAATGCTTTCCATAATGGAGAACTACAAATTTCCTGTTTATACTTTAGCTGGTCCAGCAACAAAAAGAACACGTTATCTTGAAAGTAAGTTGCATATTCATTTCTACCTAAAACGTGTGGATACGTCAAATTTAAAGTATGTTTTATAATAGATTATATCCAAGATCAATTTAGTAAAATGCATAAAATTATATGCATGTGGATATTTCTGTATAAATACCAGAAAAATGTGCTTATATAGTCATTAAAAAAAATTTTGTTATCTGACCCCAATGAGGACATTTAAAACAAAAAACTGTTTAGAAACACAATTACACAAACAAAAATAAACCTATATTAAAGTTAAACCATGTTCACTACCAATTTTTCAAATCCTAAATTTAAAAATAACTATGTCAAGAAAGTGTTTTAATATACATTGGAGCACAAGTAATATAGTTTACTGGTTGTTAAATAAAATTACTTCATTATACTACTGCTAGTGGAATAAAATTGACACACACAACTTGTACATGCAGGGAAAATACAACTTAATGTAAATAGATGGTTTTCAGCACATTCCTTTACTAGAATGTGGCCACCTGCCACAAAGTACACAAGCTCATGCACAAGATCAAGACGTTACATACAGCTGAGATCACAATGTCATGCATAGTACAACAGCGTGCCAGATTATCGTACCACAAACTGTGCGGATGTTCTCCCCCACCCCATGAGCCACTGCCAGCAGCTGCTGTGGAGCTTGGTTACCCATATCCGTGACATGAACGGTGTCCTTTGGAGAATCTTGTTCCCTGTGGCTGTAAGTATTCTTATTTTTATAATATTTTAATGATGCTTGCTATCAAAATGTTAAGTACAATACTGGAAATTATGAAAAAGTAGATTTTTTACAATACTAAGCAATTATATACATCTTATCTCAGGTACCTGCAATAAGCATCACATATATAAACATATCATCAAAACTAATTTAGTGCTCAGAGTTAAATGAACCCAAAATAATATATCTGATGACAGTGCTCCAGTGAGTGGGGAAAAAGAAAACAAAATACAATCTCCAAAAAGTACTGCCTAATTTTGAGCACTCAAAAAACTTGGCAAGAGTCATTCTAAAGTCTGGCTAAAGTATGACTCATACAGATATGTGCTATATAAGAACATTTATTAGGATAGATCTTTCACTTACATGATTTCAATTTTGAATACTTGACTTGGTAAACAATTAGCCAAGTTAACATTATTTATGTTAGTCAATGAAAGAAAGTATAGAATATAGTCACTGAACTACTTCCCCTCCTTTCTCTGAACTTATTAAGTGTATTGCAATGTCCTTGTTTTTCTATATATTTCCTAAGTGCATTCTGGTAAAGACAGCATTTTCTTTTGCTATTAGGTAACACTTGCTAAATTACATGTTCATAAAATCAGAATCATAGAATCAGAATTTTGGAACCTTGAGACACATTGAGTGGCTCAGCTCTATTCCTCTTGGGAGTACTACATGGCCCTTTTAGAATGATAAATTCAGTGCTTCTGGAATATTCCAGAGTACCTTTAAATCAGGCCAGGGAGTGAAAAAAAAAGAAAATACAGCCAACTCTCAATAACAATGGAAGGTAGGATAGATAAGTAAAATCTGAAGATCTAAAAATTTTATTTTAATTAATAACTTGAATCTCCTCTCTTAACATTTGACTTATAATTTTAAAAAATTATGTCAGATATAAAAAGAACTTGAATTTGAGCTCTTTTCTCTGCCCCCTCTCCAAACACCCTAGAGGAGGTACTAATAAGAACTGTATAGTCTGATATTGGTAGCTGCAAAGATGAAAACCTATTTATATGTCTAGCTTTTCCAAATTAGATATGTAAACCTATACATATAATATTTTAGTATATGAGGACCCATGTGTATTTTCATCTTTGTGTAAAAATGATTGCTTTATAATTTGCTTAAAAATTGGCATTCCTTTAGCAAAGAATGACTACTTACCATAATCAATATCAGCAGTTACATCCAACTTTTCTGACTTTGTAACAATCTACAACTTAGTACTTACCAGGTTACATTTCCCTTAGAATGTAACATTTGAAAGTGATATGAATTGAAGATGACAGTTTTACTCAACATCAGAATAATTCATGAGAGGAGCCAGCATGCCTTGATTAAATGGACATAAGACTGGGGCTTAAAACAGCTGCCTCTCCTGATTCTTATGTACTGTACAGTACAACATTGTAGCATTCTGCCTCAGTTTTCCTCCAGCAATCATCATTCAATTACCTCAACAGACTGATGCAAAATACATATCTTTATTATGACTATTATTATGATCATTGAGACAGGGTCTCACTCTCACAGCTTATTGCACTCTTGACCTCTGGGGCTACAAATCTTTATTATGATTATGATTATTATCATTGAGACAGGGTATCACTCTCACAGCTTACTGCACCCTTGACCTCTGGGGCTCAAGTGATGCTCCTACCTCAGCCTCCCAAGTAGCTGGGACCACAGGCATGTACCACAATGCCTAGCTAATTTTTAAAAAATTTTTTGTGGAGACAGGATCTCCCTATGTTGTCCAGGCTGGTCTCAAACTCTTGGGCTCAAGTGATCCGCCTGCCTCAGACTCCTGGAGTGCTGGGATTACAGGCGTGAGCCACTATGCCTGGCCTGCAAAATATATATTTTATCATAAAGTGCATCATATGAACTGTTTTAATTAGCAACAAATAAAGTTTAAGTTAAGAATAACAAAGTGTCTACAACTGTGCCATTATTTGAATATATAAGTGCAGGAGAATCTCTTATAAGAGCAGGTATGCCACAGTGCAGGATAAAAAAAGGGACATTCTTATGTTGCCATATGTTTACATGGAAGATAACTGGGATTTGACTAAAAACAAGGTGAAAACAAGTATATTTTATAATAAAAGGCATTAGAAAAAAATGTGCAATAAAAGGACAATAATATTTAAGTTTATGATAAATAGTTTATCCATTTATTTGCCTTTCTGAAGAATGATCATTCGATTCTAAAAAGCAGTGTTGTATTGGTAAATGTGTAATTTGAACTTCTTATAAATCATTCTAATTTCATTAAGGTATCAGTTTGTTATTCATTGACAGTAATACCTCTTTAAATAGTGATGAAAGAAAAGAAACATCTGAATTTAAGTATTATACCTGGCTTTACAATATATATACTTTGTTATATTTCTGGAGATAAGACTTAACTGATAAGAAGTATATCAGTAATCCTTTGCAATGGCATTTTATTTTAAATTTATGTACCATAAAAATTTAACAAAAAATAAACCATATGTAAGTAAAAATCAATTGGTTAAAAAATATATTATTGGTATTACCATATGCATACATATAAAATTGGTATTTTTGTTTAAGACTCAAATATTTTACATAGGAGAAACATTTCCCTAATTATAACAAAAGTTAAGGTAACTTTAGAAAATACTTGGCTGCATGATTTGAACTGTCGTTAATACCCCAACAACAAATAAAAAAAAGTTGGTTTCAAAAATTAGGTAAATTAAAATAATGCTGCAGATTAAATTTTTCCACAAAAAATAATGCATCCAAAAGTAGTAGTTCTGAGTGCTGTATAATTTTCACTTAGATTTCTAAGAATAAATCTGTAAGTATTTAAACATTTCTGAAAATCTGAACTTTTCCAGGACACAGTAAAATAAGAATAGGGAAAAAAAAATCAGTGAAAAAGTTGTTTTCACATTTTGATCATGCTTACATGTTATGTTAAGAAAGAATTAAATAATTAATACAAAATTCTTCAATTTTATAACAATCTACAAATAGTTCCTATGTCAACATGGAATTACATTGTTAAAGGCATTATTTGAAGACAATGTTTTGATTTGTCAGAAAATAGAACAAAGTCCTCAATGATTATCTTTGATAAAAGTAACCACTACTAAGGAAAAACAATAAACAGAAAAAAACTGCTACAGATAAAATCTGATGAACACACTCTGCGTTCTTATTATCAAATTTTTGTGCTCTCTACTTATAATGTACTAATATTGTAATCAGGTCAGTAGAGGACTGAATATACATCATGGATGCTGCTACACAAAGCAAGCAGGTAGAAAGATTAGAATGTGACATGGTAAGGCGAAGAAAAATGACTATGTCACATAGCAATAGTTTAAAATACTGGCTTTCTCAGTGATTAAAAAAGCATGTTCAATGACTTTTTATTTTCCCTGCAGTTCATCATATTGGAAAGCTACAGCAAGACAGTAATACAGCTCACTGGATACAAATATTCAAGTTCTTCACTAACCTCATCTGGGTTGGCATTAAAGGTGAGGCTGCCTTCATCCAGCTGCATATACAATTTTCTAAAAGAAAATCCTAAAGGTGGGTTCTTATTGTATATGGAACAGTGACCCCAAGTGGATTTGCACAACCTGTAAAATCAGAGAAAATAAGACAAGAAAACATTACTACATTTAATTTCCTAAGTTAAATATGCATATACATGAAAAAATAGTAACATGAAATAAGACTGAATTTTATAGTTATAAAGTTTAAAATTTTTAAGTTTGTACTTGTTTTCTATTTGTTTACTAGAGTATGACAGATGCTTTAAATTTAGCAATTTTGACAGCATCTAATAAATATGAGTTATAAAGATCAATAATATTCATGAGTACTATCTGAAGTTAAACATAAACTATCATAATAGTAGTAATAATAGCTAACATTTACTGAGTACTTACTAGATGTCAGACCCTATTTTAAGTATTTTTATTGGATTAGCTTGCCTAATCTTCACAACAATCCTATGACGTTGGTGATACAGATAAGAAACACAGAGACAAAACAGTTACCCAAGATCATATGGCTAACATGTATAGATGCAGGATTTCAAACAATGAGTAATCCACAGCATGCAATTATTAACCAAGAATCTAAATAGGGTTTATTAACTAATTCTATGTGCTCTATTGTGAAATAAAACTAAATGGGAGGAAAAGATTGCTGGGCAGGGAAACAACTTTTGTTTTTCAAATAATAAATGTTACAACAGACAAATTAAACATAGAAATTGTTTGTAATGCCACAACTTGAATACATTCATCAAGCTGTGATGTTAAACATAGCTGTTTTTAAGATACTGCTTCAAAAATACTGGTTCTTTACTATCAGAGCGATACATGATTGTTTAGAAATTCTATAAAACCTAAAATACTAACAGTTCATATCTCAAAACACACTGCAGATTGGGATAGTTGTTTCTAACTCTTTACAGAGGCAATAGCTACTGGTTATTTGAAAGCTAAAGTTTTATCTTATAATGCCTGGAAATTCTGGATATCTACCAAAGAGCCTTAAATATAAATGCATTATTCTAGAGACACAGAGAATACTTAAATTATATTCTGATACAATTGTAATGAGTCTTTGTCTCAAAATTATCTCATCTGTTGTGTATTCAAAAGCACCTGCTACTTGTTGAGACAAATGAAACTGTTTACTTTCTTATATTCATTATTAGTTTCTGCCTCAAATTTCCTTCTTTTAATAAACACACAAAGTGCAGGGCAACAAGAAAAAGTTACTGTCTGAGCACATAACATCAACAATTGTGAGGACAAGGGGGTAAAATATCCAATTTAGCATGAGACTATCCTCTTAGTAGTTGATTTATACTGCTGTATTATTTTTACCCACCAAATGAAATCACTGACTGAAAACTGTAAGTATAAAAAATTGTTTAGAATATTATCAATATTTTTTCAGTTTTATTAATCTAGTCCCAATAAAACTCAAAACTAGAGTTTTATTACTAAGCTATGTGAAAACCAGAGAACTTCCCAACATCAATGAGTATTCAATACATCCAAAGTTGAAATTAAAACTAAGCCAGTCTTTAATTTCAAATAGAAGCAATTTATTATTAAGGAGAAAATCCAAGTATTATTAAAATAGGCATAATTATGGCAAACATTTCTTTCACAAATGAAAAATTCAGATTTAAACCTCAAATGAAGAATATATTCTGATTGACTTTGGGAAGACTAGAAATTAAACTTTTTAAAGAAGTTCAAATAAAGAAACAGAAACTAAGTTAGTGAGGAATACTAAAATGTAGAAAAGAGATTATAAAGAATGATCCAGTTTAAAAGTACTTTCATTTCCTCTTCTATTCACATGATTAAAAAAATTAATAACTTATTTATTTGAAAGACTCCTCTTTAATAGAATTTCCTCACATAGTACTTTCACTATGTCAAACAAATGAATAAAAGAATAACAAGATATGATATTGACGACTTTTATCTATTTAGAGGTTGAGAAAGGACCTATATAACTTGTACTATAACTGTGTGACATTAGAAGACCTAACAGGAATGTCATTACTGAAAATATATTTAGACTAAAGTTTGCAATTTATTAAGTCTCAATTAGATTTCTAGTTTGAAATTACATGAAGTCTTAAAAAGATGTTTGTTTCTAGCTACATTCTATATTTTTATAAAGATCCACTTCAAGATAGTAAGACAAACTTTGGTAAGGGATGCTAAAAGGTCTGAGATCCAATTATTCCATGTTTGGTAATATTCTTAGGCCAAAAAGTCATGTACCTATACTTTTTGTTAAAGTATATGATGCTATTGAAGGAGTAACTTAGGTTCAATAAAACAGATTCTATTCCAGCAAATGTTCTTAGATTTGTGGTTTTAATTCAAACTAGTACAACGTGAAAATTTATATAATCTACTTTAAGTTCAGCAAGTAAATAAAAACAACGGTTTGTCCCCTTGCTTTCTAATATTTGCCTACTTCATTAAAATGCTGGTTAGGAAAGAAAAGTAGATACAATTTTCACCAGTTAAATTTTATTCTAACAAGCACCTTTGAAGAAATATAGAATTGAGTAAAAATGTAAGGCTCTATATGAAGAAAATTAAAAACAGTAACATTTGAGGACTATTCATTGATTTTGAAGTCTGCCTATTCTTCAGATGGGATACCTATGGGAAGCACAAACTACACAGCATGTGAACACTCCAACTTTTAAATTAGAAATTCTCACTCCACAACTTTGCGGTATTTTTAGAATAAAGTGAGAGTTTCTGATTTATAATGAACTGACAGAGCCTGATTGGTAACCTCTCTTCTAATTGTAAAGTTGTTATTCTATTTTCTATTGTCCTCCTTTTCACAAGATCAAATTTGACTGTGATGCTAACTGTATATTTTTCCAGGTTTTAATAAAGAGTATCTCAAAGTACAAGACCAAGTTTAAAGAAAATATTTTGTAATATATATTATTAAAAGAACATTTAAACATGGTTATGTTTAGAGATACTTGAATTCAACATTGGTGGGTTTAACTTACCCTTGCCAGAGAAGTTCATCATTTGCGAGGTCCTGCCAAACACACGAAGCCAAGCAAAGGTCAGTTGCATTCAGGTAGGACAAGATGGTGAAGCTTAGCTCAGGAGGCAGCATTTCCAAATTAATGAATCCTTCCTGTTCTTTTGATTTCCTTGCCTTCAAAAGATGATATATGTCAATGCCTCCTTGGACTTGTTTACGATGATTGCTGTTAGAAATGTTGTTCGCAGCCATTCTCCTGCTCTGCTCTCTAGTGAGGTAGCCTTGCTCACTGTAGCCTTCTTGTTGTAGCTGCTGGTTTCTGACAACTCTCCACAACCCCTGACCCATCTGCAAGCCTGGGAAAAAGCCAGAATGTAATAAGGGTGACATTTAAAAAGTAACCCATTTTCCCCAGTGGTATAACAAATCTGACATGAAGCATTCATTTACCAGAATTAAAACTTCTCATTAAAACCTATTAAAACCAGAAGTATATTATTAAGAATTGCTGAAACATTGTAAGTGTAAATTTTGATAGACAAAGTTTCGGAATTACTTGGTTTGATCATCACCTTTATCCCGGTTTGCTAACTACTTTTAAAGTCCATAGGTGACATAATCATTTTTCACGTGGTAAGATTTAAAAGTTACTGATGTCCTTAATACTCTTACAAATTATAATTATGTGGACTTATGGGCCAGTATCAAATACAGCTCTGATCAGAGCAAAGACTCTAGTTAAAAGGCCTCCAGACCCTGCTTTTCATCACAATTCAGTCTAAGCTAAGCTAGCTCCTTTTAACCAAACTCCCAGATGTGTTAACAGCTGGGAAACAGGCTTTTAGTTTAATTCTTGCCAGTCTACACTTATGTTGTAGACTGTAATAAAATGTAACATAGGCCCTGAAGTCTAATTCAGAAACCTTATAAATTAGACACCTAGAACTCCAAGATAAATGCTCAGTAACAGTGTACTATTTAGTTTTGTTGTTGCCGTAAATTAAAAACTGTAATTTAGATAAATTTTCTAATTCTTCTCCACAAATCCCTATGGATTCTTCAGAAGTACCTGGGAAAAGTCACCAGAAGAAGGCGTGCTCCAGTCTCCCCACTACCATCTGACCTCCCACCAAGGCATTCTACATTTGTCTGTCACGTATATTGACTTCCTCATGTACAAATGTATTACAAAATTCCTAGATCTAGATTTGGCATTGCCTTTTAATAGCTTTTCTAGGGCAAATAAAGTCATTCAGAACAACTAAATCAGAGTTCTTAATGCATATGAATAATTACTTTCATGATCTCTTTTTCAAACAAAATACTTTTATCAACTCAAGTTGACAGCTAATATCTGTGTGTTTCAAAAACTTGGAATACTGACTTTCCCATAAAATCATTAAAATAGTCAAATAATTTTTATAGCATGACCTGAACTTAAAATATAACGTTGTTTTAATTAATTGTTTACAATAAGGACTAACAAAAACAAAAGCAAAAATCCCAAATGACAAAAAAACAAACCAACAGTGACTAGGTATCTTTTAATTACAAATAATTTGAAAATTGAGCAGAACTTCAAAGAATGTCAAAGATACTATTATTGTAGTATTTAAAAAGGTATGATCCACGCATTTATTTACTAAACCTTTGGCTACTGTTTCCATAATGGCCACTAAATTCAGTCATTTGTTGATTAAAGCAGAAAAAATAGTCCAAGATAATTTTTAACTCTTCCCCCACCTTCTATTGTCCTGCTTGGAATCCCAGCAGCTTAAGCTATAAAGGTATGGCGGGGAGGTATAACGAGAAGAAACGAATAATTTTAAAATGTAGGCATATTTGTTTTTGAAAAGAAGGCACAAAAGATAACCCTTCTCTCGCTACCACACACACACCACCACGGTATTTCTTCCTAAATAAGTGGTGAAGCTATACAAATAAAATGTTTTAGAAAATACACAATATCAAGAAAATAAAAAGCCACAGACCAGTAGAAAATCTTTGCAAAACACATATATGAGAAAAAGACTGTGTATCCAAAAAAGGTAAAGAACTCTTTTTTTTTTTTTTTAAGTTCATTTGTAAAAAAATTATACTTCAACTTCTAGGGTAAATGTGCACAACGTGCAGGTTACATATGTATACATGTGCCATGTTGGTGTGCTGCACCCATTAACTCGTCATTTACATTAGGTATATCTCCTACTGCTATCCCTCCTCCCCCTGCCCCACAATAGGACCCAGTGAGTGATGATCCCCTCCCTGTGTCCAAGTGATCTCATTGCTCAATTCCCACCTACGAGGGAGAACATGCGGTATTTGGTTTTCAGTTCTTGCGACAGTTTGCTGAGAATGATGGTTTCCAGCTGCATCCATGTCTCTACAAAGGACACAAACTCATCCTTTTTTATGGCTGCATAGTATTCCATGGTGTATATGTGCCACGTTTTCTTAATCCAGTCTGTCACTAATGGACATTTGGGTTGATTCCAAGTCTTTGCTATTGTGAATAGTGCCGCAATAAACATACGTGTGCATGTGTCTTTATAGCAGCATGACTTATAATCCTTTGTGTATATCCCCAGTAATGGGATGGCTGGGTCAAATGGTATTTCTAGTTCTAGATCTTTGAGGAATCGCCATACTGTTTCCCACAATGATTGAACCAGTTTACAGTCCCACCAACAGTGTAAAAGTGTTCCTATTTCTCCACAGCCTCCGCAGCACCTGTTGCTTCCTGATTTTTTAATGATTGCCATTCTAACTGGTGTGAGATGGTATCTCATTGTGGTTTTGATTTGCATTTCTCTGATGGCGAGTGATGATGAGCAGTTTTTCATGTGTCTGTTGGCTGTATGAATGTCTTCTTTTGAGAAGTGTCTGTTCATATCCTTTGCCCACTTTTTGATGGGGTTGTTTTTTTCTCGTAAAATTGAGTTCTTTATAGGTTCTGGATATTAGCCCTTTGTCAGATGAGTAGATTGCAAAAATTTTCTCCCATTCTGTAGGTTGCCTGTTCACTCTGATGGTAGTTTCTTTTGCTATGCAGAAGCTCTTTAGTTTAATTGGATCCTGTTTGTCAATTTTGGCTTTTGTTGCTGTTGCTTTTGGTGTTTTAGACATGAAGTCCTTGCCCATGCCTATGTCCTGAATGGTATTACCTAGGTTTTCCTCTAGGGTTTTTATGGTTTTAGGTCTAAAATTTGAGTCTCTAATCCATCTTGAATTAATTTTCATATAAGGAGTAAGGAAAGGATCCAGTTTCAGCTTTCTACTTATGACTAGCCAATTTTCCCAGCACCATTTATTAAACAGGGAACCTTTTCCCTTTCTTGTTTTTGTCAGGTTTGTCAAAGATCAGATGGCTGTAGATGTGTGGTATTATTTCTGAGGGCTCTGTTCTGTTCCATTGGTCTATATCTCTGTTTTGGTACCAGTACCATGCTGTTTTGGTTACTGTAGCCTTGTAGTATAGTTTGAAGTCAGGTAGCGTGATGCCTCCAGCTTTGTTCTTTTGGCTTAGGATTGTCTTGGCAATGCGGGCTCTTTTTTGGTTCCATATGAACTTTAAAGCAGTTTTTTCCAATTCTGTGAAGAAAGTCATTGGTAGCTTAATGGGGATGGCATTGAATCTATAAATTACCTTGGGCAGTATGGCCATTTTCACGATATTGATTCTTCCTATCCACGAGCATGGTATGTTCTTCCATTTGTTTGTATCCTCTTTTATTTCGTTGAGCAGTGGTTTGTAGTTCTCCTTGAAGAGGTCCTTTACATCCCTTGTAAGTTGGATTCCTAGGTATTTTATTCTCTTTGAAGCTATTGTGAACGGGAGTTCATTCATGATTTGGCTCTCTGTTTGTCTGTTACTGGTGTATAAAAATGCTTGTGATTTTTGCACATTAATTTTGTGTCCTGAGACTTTGCTGAAGTTGCTTATCAGCTTAAGGAGATTTTGGGTTGAGACAATGCGGTTTTCTAAATATACAATCATGTCATCTGCAAACAGGGACAATTTGACTTCTTCTTTTCCTAACTGAATACTCTTGATTTCTTTCTCCTGCCTGATTGCCCTAGCCAAAACTTCCAACACTATGTTGAATAGGAGTGGTGAGAGAGGGCATCCCTGTCTTGTGACAGTTTTCAAAGGGAATGCTTCCAGTTTTTGCCCATACAGTATGATATTGGCTGTGGGTTTGTCATAAATAGCTGTTATTATTTTGAGGTACGTTCCATCAATACCGAATTTATTGAGAGTTTTTAGCATGAAGGGCTGTTGAATTTTGTCAAAGGCCTTTTCTGCATCTATTGAGATAACCACGTGGTTTTTGTCTTTGGTTCTGTTTATATGCTGGATTATGTTTATTGATTTGTGTATGTTGAACCAGCCTTGCATCCCAGGGATGAAGCCCACTTGACCATGGTGGATAAGCTTTTTGATGTGCTGCTGGATTTGGTTTGCCAGTATTTTATTAAGGATTTTTGCATCAATGTTCATCAGGGATATTGGTCTAAAATTCTCTATTTTTGTTGTATCTCTGTCAGGCTTTGGTATCAGGATGATGTTGGCCTCGTAAAATGAGTTCGGGAGGATTCCCTCTTTTTCTATTGATTGGAATAGTTTCAGAAGGAATAGTACCAACTCCTCCTTGTACCTCTGGTAGAATACGGTTGTGAATCCGTCTGATCCTGGACTTTTTTTGGTTAGTAGGCTATTAATTATTGCCTCAATTTCAGAGCCTGCTATTGGTCTATTCAGGGATTCAACTTCTTCCTGGTTTAGTCTTGGGAGAGTATAAGTGTTCAGGAAATTATCCATTTCTTCTACGTTTTCTAGTTTATTTGCGTAGAGGTGTTTATAGTATTCTCTGATGGTAGTTTGTATTTCTGTGGTGTCGGTGGTGATATCCCCTTTATCATTTTTTATTGCATCTATTTGATTCTTCTCTCTTTTCCTCTTTATTAGTCTTGCTAGTGGGCTATCAATTTTGTTGATCTTTTCAAAAAACCAGCTCCTGGATTCATTGATTTTTTGGAGGGTTTTTTGTGTCTCTATCTCCTTCAGTTCTGCTCTGATCTTAGTTATTTCTAGCCTTCTGTTAGCTTTTGAATGTGTTTGCTCTTGCTTCTCTAGCTCTTTAAATTTTGATGTTAGGGTGTCAAGTTTAGATCTTTCCTATTTTCTCTTGTGGGCATTTAGTGCTATAAATTTCCCTCTACACACTGCTTTAAATGTGTCCCAGAGATTCTGGTATGTTGTATCTTTGTTCTCATTGGTTTCAAAGAACATCTTTATTTCTGCCTTCATTTCGTTATATACCCAGTAGTCATTCAGGAGCAGGTTGTTCAGTTT